AACATGGCATTTGTAGAAGAACAAGTAAATTAAACGAAATTGGTAGAAAAATTGTTGCTGTGGTAGCAGAGTGTGACCTAAGATCATGTAGCAATCTAGAGAACTTAAAAAACATGGCAACAAATTAGAGAGCAAAGGACATGCAAAAAATCGAATCGATAAAAAACATGAGGGTGGTTATAGTTTCAGAAAAGATCCTAGCCTTTCTAATAAAATTTGACTATTCTTGAGACAGCCTTAGCAGATAAAAAGCAAATTATTTCTCAGTTCTCTGTCCTCGGTTTGACAGGCTTAAATACAAAGATAACAGTGAGATAATGACTAACTCTATTAATACAGTCCATCAGGCTGACTGCCCCCTGCCTTAAAAGACTCACCACTGAATTTCGAGTGTTTGACGCAAAACGGTAAAATTCAGCTGAGGTCGATGCAAGGAAATTATCGGGCTGGCAAGACTTAGATATTAAGCTTAGTTTTAATATGTACCCCATTCCTTTCTATACTACATATGGTATTCTGTCAGCTAGATATAACTGTTCTTCAGTTGTCCTTACGTGGAAGGAAATCCTAATATCCACATTCAGGATGCGCATTAATGAAAGATCGATGTGTAATCTTATAGGTTAAACATGATGTTTAGTCAAATATAGTATAGCGATAATATTTGTTTGGTGACACATAAGTCCATTTATAAATATTATAATTACCACTACCGACAGTTTGATGATATTTGTATAACTAAGAATATATCTACTGGGTATCATCTACAATCGTGTGCTTGTGTCCGAAGTTTAAGCAATCACAACTTCCTGATTCTTAAGGTTCCTTTGACATTGAAGTCGGCGTCATCAGTTTTACTGGCCGCATCCCTGCCAAGTTGCTACGGGTTGTGCCGTCCCACAAATATCTCTGTACAACTAGTCAAATCAAATCATATCTTGACATGTCGACGACCTTCCAAATATATTTTCGAATTCCTTCGTTCCTGATTTCTGGCATGACTGGGCGACGAATACTTGGTTATAAAGGTGTTGCAAACATCAGTGTTGCTGCAACATCTTTATGGTCATTGTAAAAAGTACTGTATTTCTAACGTAGTAACGCATCAATGATTACAAAATAACGTTATTCAAGTATATGAAAAACGTGTTCATTATCTGGTCAGTTTTCGACAACCACACCACTCTACTAAAAACGCATCCATCCATACAGAATACATATCGATCTCAAGATAACTCGAACTCACTGGGACTGATGAATTTAAGTGGATGTGTAGTGACATTGGACCATAACCACACAATCCTCAAAGGTGAACACGAGACTACTCGGAAAATAGATATTCGATATTTACCGTGAAGAAATACCTAACGATGGAGAAGGCAGGAACAGGGAATTGAATTAATTAGAGTTGATAGGGCGGCATAGCTCGACCTTACAGGCGTGGTCCCTGCTGAATGTTACCTTACATCTTTAATCCATATTGAATATATTGTTTCTTCTCTAGCCTAAGTTTGTTCTACATCACGTATTGACAATTGTTACGATACAGTAGGTTGGTGCAGACGATGATATGACTTCCAAGTAAGATCTTATAGATTAGGCAGTTATATCATAAGAAATCTACAATTTTAGGATTAGGTCTATTAGTAGACCAGTACTGATATCACAGTAGACCATAATTCTACAGATGTATTCCGACAATGAATGACAATGAAAATATGGAACCATGCGAAAACACCCGAAAACAGGTTCAAAGAAACTGCCACGAGTGTTTCAAAAAGGCAATGATTTAGTAATTGTTGGGATTAACTTTGCTTCCATATACTTGTTGTATCAAAGGGCATTCTTGGTTTACTCAAAATTGAAGTATTTCGGTTAACGTTTGAAGTTTCACTTAACTTGGTCTTGTGGTGCTTTCTTTATTGTTGGTTCTGACATTTCTGTTCATATAGTGATCACATTGTGTTTTAAGCTTTCCTTATCTGATTAAAATGTTTGGCAGTATTTATAAATGTGGACAGTCAAATTGTTTATTCCCCATGGAGGAAGGAATGTAACGAGTGTGAAAAGTGGTTCCATAAAAATGTGAAAAGAATAAAGTTATAAGCAGCAACCACATGGTTTGCAAGTCATCGGTCAACTCCCATTCTGAGTCAGGAAATACAACGTGATCTTCTGTTAAGCAGCGCTTATAGTCACGACAGTTACAATATATCTTCTGAAGGTAGAATAAAAAAGGAAACGGCACTGACCGAGATAGAAACTCGTTGAAAAATGGTGAGGAAAATCCCCGCTTAGTTGATATTCGGATAGTCAGGTCCTGGGAGAAAATGCCACCAATTTATGTGTGGATAAGCCGTTCTTCCTGGGAATTTTATATGCGAATGCTCTTAGTCTAAGAAATAAATTCTCTGAACTAGGAGCGTTAGTGGACAAATTGAGGCCACTCACTGTAGCTGTGACGGGAACTTGGTTGGTCCACGACTTCGACATTATTCCAGAATTATCCGAGTATCGTTATCTGAGAATTGACAGACAGAGATTTTGAAAATAAGGTGGCGTCCTACTATACATAGTCAATAATATGAATATCCACTCCCCTGCTTGTGCATCGCGTGATAGCGGGACGTGTGAAGTCTAAGAGCTCTTTGTGTCCGACTATCGAATATTGTACGTTTATACTCGGTGTCATCTATCGCAGTTCAATCTACTTATCTGATGAATATTATGGAACACACTCAGCTATAGAGTGAAAATAACTGATGTTTGATTTAAGGAAACTTCAATGCACCCGATATTAATGGAGTGAGATGGCCTAGGTACGATCTATAAATTTCTTTGATCGTGGGTTCCTGATACCGGTAATGGAGCATGCATTAGCACAGCTTTACTTACTTACTTACTTACATACTTACTTACTTACTTACTTACTTACTTACTTACTTACTTACTTACTTACTTACTTACTTACTTACGCCTGTTACTCCCAATGGAGCATAGGCATGTGTCGAAAACACTATTTTCAGTTCAAGGCAAGGTTCTTCTTCGTTAGGCTTGGTAATCTCTCATGCGACTGACGATATTACCAACCTAAATATTCTTCCACCATTAGAGAATAGCGATCACACTGTTTTGTTATCCACGCTTAGAGCCAGTGACGTGATATAAGATCAGATTAAGCCTCACTCAAATGTATGGACAGCTAACACATCAGCCATTTAGGAGTGCGCTGCAAAGACCTTTTGGTCAGTAAATAACAACTCATCAGTTAACAGAGCATGGTTTATATTTAAAGGTGAATTTGATTCAGTTATGTTCTCGTTTATACCATGACCAGTACCATGTAGACCGAATAACTGTCCACCATGAACGACTAAACCGGTCAGGAAACTTCTCAGACGTAGGAAAAAGCATTTGAATACGTTCCGTTGACTTAGACCAGTCACTGTAGGACTATGAATGCTTGTAAACCGTTGATAAGTAGGACTGGAGAGTCGTATGAAAAACAATGGGTTACGAATTGTAAAAATAGTCCGAAACGGCTATTCTCGTATATAAAGAGGCGAACTCAGAGAAGAGATGCGATCCCATAACTTCTGGCACAAGAATATTTGCCAATATTGACAGGAGATGCCGGAAAACTAAAGCTTTATCAGAATGTTTTAGTAACGTGCTTTCAATTAGCGATAAGGAACGACCGAAGCTTAATTGTGATTGGGGCGACATGTCGGTTTTTCCTGTTTTTATTGATAAGGGTGTCGTCTTAAGACTATACAAACATCTCAAAACTGATAAGTCCAGTGGTCCTGACGATATTAATCCTAGGATTATGAAAGTCCTGTCGAATGTAATTGCTAAACACAAGGCCATACTGTTTGACATCTCTCTGTGGCGGTCCAGACTGCCAAGAGACTGGAAGTACGTAATAATTAATCCCATGTACAGTACGGGGAGCAGGAACTTAGTAAATATAGACCCGTTAGTCCAACCGGTGCAGTTATAAAACTAACAGAAAAGATTATTCGGATGACTGTTATAAACTATTGTAGCAAAAGATCGAAATATTTCTGTAGATGTAATTTTCATAGATCCAAGGAAAGTCTTTGATGGGTTTGAGATTAAAACTGGAAAATTTTGAAATCCATTATAAGGTCATAAACTGAATAAGTGACTCTTAGTGATAGTAGACAGCGAGTAAGAGTGAATGGAGCTCTCGTAGCGTAAGAATGTGAAATAGGGAAGTTCCCAAAGGCACGATTCTTGGTCCTCTTCTTTTTTTACTTTATGTAAGTGAATTACCCGATGTGGCAGTCATCCATTCTACTTTTCGTCAATGACATAAAGGTTTGGAAACCCATACACAATATGTCAGATAGGAGCAACTGTAAGGCTGCTGCCAAAGACTTTAGAGTATTATGGGCTATTAGTAGGTCTTTGCAGTACTTAGACGAAAAAACATATAGAATATTATAATCAACTTTCGTGAGACGGCAATTGAAATATAGGATACAAGAATCGAGTCCTTATCTTAAGTATGAAACCGATATTCTGGAACTAGTGCATCGACGAGGTAAAAGGTCTTTCTGGCCTATGTCATGAAGACAGACTGGAAATCTCAACTTATCTTACCGCAGATCAGGGGGTGTTTCAATATCGGTTGATCGTATGCCGAACGATTGGAATCAATATGTTCAACCTTTCCATTCCATCTATGACTGATAATTTGAGAGGACGTTCCAAAAAAGTTCAAAAACCGAGATCAAATAGTCAGCATCCAGAGTTCCGCTTCTCCCATCTAGTAGTGAATTGCAGGAATTTTCTACCAGAACATGTAACATCAGCACCGTCTGTTGATATATTCAAAACGAGATTGTACCTCTAGTCCTACAAACTGAGAGGAATAATACGTGTTTATAGACTTCCTATCCTTGTTAGAGAAAACATATCGATTAACACTAACTCATCATAAATATATTGAATTTGAGATAGAGCAGACTTTCAAAATGTACGTTACCAAAGGGTGTCGTTTCTGTTTCTATAAGAAAAGTCAATAAAAGCATAGAGTAAAAAGAAGGGCTCATTTAAAACTACAGTTACCGTAGTAAAATTAATGCGGGCAAAATCAACGCTGCAAATACAATGCATAAATATATTTTTATTGGGGGCCCTCCGGATTTCCCCAGATCTGGTGAAATTTTGGGGTTTTAGTGCCATTTTCCCAAAGTTGGGAGCTCGGGATGGTATCAGACTAAACCTCCCACTCGTTTGCAATAATTAACTCACGAACAGACAATATTTACATTTAGTACGTAGACACGTGAACTCTGTTTTCCTAAAGTCATATCGTAAGTGAAGTTTTCGGGTGAAGACCCGAGGTCGTTGTTTCTGAAGTAAATTGTTCCCAAGTGAATGAGACCTCTTGACCCTGAACGTTCATCTCTTCTCATGTTCGTCGAAATAATCTTTATCGTGAGCATTATCAGTATTACATTTAGGTGTGTATAGTGCGTATGGGTGAAGTCACATGTGATGCTTTTATTTTGAACACAGTTAATATTCTGCGCCAAAGGTTTTTATTCGTTGAATTAATCGAAGTTACTGAACACCATTTTATTTATCGTAGTGTCCATTATCCATGTTACTTTTTTCAACGAACATTTCGCCCACTTATTTTCATAATGTAGCGGAAAAAAAATAACGATCCGGGTTATGAGTAAATATAATTGAAACTAAGTGAACTAGAGTAGTTTTATTTTTATTCAATTTACTATCATGTCACTACTATAATTATTTCGATCCTTGTTTGCCACCACATTATTCTCAACCCACAGTGTCTATATAATATGGCAACTTGTGTTAACATGTATGTGCATGGATCTATGTTTCGACTGACTGACCTCAGTGACCTGGACGTATAACCAGGGTTACAATAAATCGAAATACTTCATGGAAATTCTTGGTATGGTGTTATGTCGGGATCTAAACATTGTTAATTCTCACATTTAATGCTCTCAAATACAATACATTAAAGTTACTTGTAGATTAGTATTTTCGACACATCCCAACTATGTCAATGAATGAGGGTTCACGGTTTCTTGCGTCGACGTACGCCAATGTTTACAAAATTCAAATTGACCTAATGAATCACTCACACCATTCATATAGTTAGTGATCAACAGTTTTATTGCATGAATTGAAATAGGAGATTTTAAGATGTCATTTCAATGTTTGGTAATTTATAGTTAGTTGAAAAACTCGAGGTGGCTAGACAAAATCTAAACCATCATCTCGTGAGGTCGTCGATTGTTTATTTAAAGTATGTTTGCATTATTTCGTTAGTTGGATAATGCAATGCAAAAATTTATAGTTTGGATAATAATTTGTGCTGCTGGCACATTTGTGTGCACTTTCCGGTCTAAATTTCGGATGTCTATTTTGTATGTTTATTTACCACTCCGTTCTTCCAGTAATTGCTAACGTCATGTTCCTCATGGCATTTTTCCCCTGCTTATTTGCTCCTAAAACACCTTCTGGTTGTTCTTTTGTGTGGTTGATGGCACTGAATAAAATACATCGTAATTCCGACTTTTTTTCAGTCACATCTAAAATCCTCTATTAATGCAGAGACGTCCACTCACTCGCATAGAACTTGGATTGCAAGACTTGATGGAATTTAAAAACTTCATCGATACTCAGTCTAATGGAGACTGTGAAAAAGGTAGCAAAAGTACCAAGGATTCTTTTGAAAAGGTACAACTTCGAGAAGCTGAAAGACGCAGAAAAAATGCGCGCCATCGGATTGGTGAGTAGTAACCTTGATTATTACTAATTACCAATTTCAGGTCTACCTCCAGATTATTAACAGACTTTAAGACTTACTGTATATATGATTCTGTCAACCACTATAATCAATTATTGATTTCAACCTTTTTTCGCTGGAACTCCATGTTTATCGTTTGAAACTTCACGAATAGTGGGTAATTTCAATAAAATCGCCTAACATTCTGCGAAGTGGTTTGCAACGTTTAGTCGAATTTTTCGGAAGACAATTTGACACACAGTACCTCAGAAATTTCAACTATATTGTCATATCTTTTACAATAAATCACGAGTTCTAAAATGTCGCAAAAATAATCCACAGCACAATCCACCTCTGGTTCATTTCTAGAATAAGGACTATATCCTAGATTTAGAATGAATTGAATTATCTAGGATGTCATGTCATACTGGAAGTCTTTCCCCAAAGAGGGGATTTATTGTTGCGCCTATTTTGGGAAAGGGTGTAGATAATGTACACGAAAATGATTTCGCCAGAGGTTGGTTTTAATGTGCTTGTAAAATATTGACCGGGTCAGACTACACAAATTATCTAGACCAAATACAACAAGCAGGTTGGATTTTGTTCAGATCATCACATCTCTTTCTCAAAACGATTAGGTATCGTCACACATATTTATTGAACAGAACTGTACATTTATACATTAGAGAGGAATGTGCTTGAGGCGGTCATCTTGGGTTTTTTCACAGCTATCCTATTAGAATGATAATGTACAATTATCTTTAAATTCTAGTCCACAATATGAGTGCGTTTGAATGAGGCTAACCAATCTTGCTAATTTTTCTGTAGCTATATAAATGATGACATTTCCCAAGTAGCTTTGAATAGAGTACATGATTGAAAAACATTTACTGATCGGAATGTAAATTAGTCGATCGATGATCAGCGTTTCTGAGTAATGACGAGTACTCTTGACCCTCAAAGCGCAAAATATATCACAAGAGGAACTTAGGGTTTGTCTATAAACTCATTCGCTGAACTGCTAGAAATGTTTAGGATGCTCACGTGCCTGAATACTGATGTTTTCGGAGACAAAAATCTCATACAACTAAATGAACCCATATTTGGAGCTGTCACATTATTTTAGCTGTTTAAGCGTTAGTAGTTATCCACTACTCAAAGTTTGAGGGAGAAGTCGTACTGCTGACTGTACAGAGGTGTGACAGCAGTAAGGTGTTTCCTTCGGACAATCAGCATGACAGCGATGCTGCCTTCCCACAAGGAGGGGTGGGGTTAGAAAAGGTCGACCCTAAAAATGTCACACCTCACCTTACCTCACGGATTTCCGTCTCCGGTGGTAAGGCCATCTGAAGAACGGAGCTAACACGTCAAAAACCTACAAAAAGGCCGTGCGCGACCGGCCTCAAGCAGTTGTCCCTTGGGCTCTGCGGTCACGCTCCCAGGTCGTTAAGACCAACACTAATCCAATTTCCTTTTCAGGTTCCTCAAGAAAATACCCTTCCACGGTGTGGGCAGCCGGGAAGTGACACCAGCCCTCATACCCGTAACAGCACGCGAGACCAAGTTGGTCACATTCAAATCCTTCCTACACCTAATACCTCTCTTATCTCCATGACTAACCCTTTATCACCTCGCACCGCTAGGGCAAACGATTCGAGTACGTGGAACGCTATTCCTGGTCTCCTGAAACCACGCTCTAAACTACACGTAGGAGCTTTTAACGTACGAACACTGTGCCAAATAGGACAGCAGGCTTCCTTAGCTAGGACTTTAGAATCCCGCGCCATCGATGTGTGCTGCGTCTCCGAAACGCGCATACAGGATCCAAGTAGCATCATTCATTTGACCTCACCATGCCAAAATAAAGAACCGACTCGATTTACGCTTCGTGTATCTGGAAGCCCTGATTCTGCTTCCCGTGGCCTCGCCGGCGTAGGTTGTTGAGGATAATGTCCTCAATATCTGACTCCAAATAATAATATCCCGTAACTGAGTATTTTAGGTAGGCTTAATCTCCTAGTAGAATTGCGAATTTACTCGAGATTATTAAAAAGCCCGAACACCAGTTATAGAGATAGTTTATTGTTAATGAATAATAATAATCCACAAGCGTACGGTGAGCAAGCACACGATGAAACAGAGAGAGTGAGTGAGTCTGTTAAAAATCCATATATATTTGAGAGTTAATCGGGTGTGGATAGATTATCGATTATCTGCATATTGAAACCAATAGGAAAATAGCTTAAGAGTTAATGTACAGACATACATTCGATCATACACACCGAAATTAACATAGTGAATTGAGTCTGAGTTACAATAACTAGATAAATGGTACAGTAGCCAAATGGGCTTGCCACATAAGCTCCCATCCAGAACATTGATGTTTTTATGTACCAAAAAAAAAATTGGATTAACATCTATGTTCGACAAAGAGATAAAGAACGGAACTGTTTTTAAAATGAAAGTACAACTCAATATGATGAGTAAGCGTAAAATTGTAATAACAGCTTGTGTGTTGAAACGTTTCATATCATGTATATACAAGTGTATATTTAACATTAATGAATTGTATAAAGTTAAAATGTAAGCATAATGATGATCCGTGGGGCCAATAAAAAAAAAGTAATCAAAATAAAGTAGGATTTTTATGTGTTATAAGAGTAGTCTCAGGATTTGGTCTAGATAAATATAGTGGTTGCTACATACCTATCTGGCCAATGTACTCTTCTTCCTGATCTTGTTGTAGTTTGTGCTGCTGCTGAATTTTGATTTGAAGTGTTGCTTGTTGCAGGTAGTTTGAATGGTGCTTGCTCTGCTGCGGGTTTAGACGGTTTTACAGTTGTCTGTTTTTCAGTGTTCTCTAAAAATGCTGGTTTTACTCTATCGATGCTAACTGTATCATGTTTACCTGCTCTTTCCACTGTAACCGTTTTAGTGTCCTTTCGGATGATTTTAAAAGGGCCGTCGTAAGGAGTCTGTAACGGCTGTCGTACTCTATCATTTCTGACGAATACATGTGAGCATTTATCTAGTTCGTTGGGTACGAATGATTTCACCTTTTGGGTTCGTGGTTTAACGGACCTAATGGATTCCATCTGCCGTTTTAATTGTTGTACGTAGTTGGTTATATCTGCTGGAATATCTGTTGCACGGTCAAAAAATTCACCAGGCAAACGTAATGTTGTTCCATAAACCAACTCAGCAGCACAACAACCGAGGTCTTGTTTGATGGTTGAGCGAATACCTAATAGTATCAAAGGGAGCTTGATATCCCATTTGTAATCTCCTCGTGCGGCCGTCAAAGAGGCTTTTAACTATCTATGGAATCTTTCTATCATTCCATTAGCAGACGGATGATAAGCAGTGGTTCTAATTCTCTTTATACCGAAAGTATCTGTAAGTTGCTGAAATAGTTTGCTTTCGAATTGCGTTCCACGGTCGGTCGTAATTGTTGTAGGGACACCGAAGTTTGTAATCCAGTGTTTCACCAGCTTCTTCGCCACTGTTGATGCTGACGTGTCTTTTAACGGAACAGCTATGGGCCATCTCGTAGATCTATCTATACATGTTAGTATATGCGTGTAACCATTAGAAATCGGTAACGGTCCAACAATGTCGATATGAATATGGTCGAACCTAGCGCTAGCGGCGGGAAAAATTCCGGTAGGAGATATGATGTGCCTATGTACTTTTGACTTTTGGCATTGGATGCATTCCCGTGACCATTTTCGTACGTCTTTGTTTATTTTTGGCCATACAAATCTATCTGTGACAAGCTTTACAGTGGCTTTTATACCTGGATGAGATATATTGTGTAATTTCTCAAAAATATTTCGTCTCATACCGAAAGGTACAAAAGGGCGAGTTTTACCTGTTGAGGTACCACAAGTTAAGGTGTCCTTGTTGTTTATGGGGATGTTTTGGAATAATAATTTTGTTTCCTTAGACTGCAAAAGCTTTTGTAGCTCCGTATCGAGCTTTTGATACTTTGCCATTTCTTGATAGTCTATATCAGGGATCGAGAAGGTATTGATATTTAATCTCGATAGTGCATCTGCTGCCTCATTTGCATTGCCTTTAATATAGCGTATATCAGCTGCAAATTGTGAAATGAATTCTAGTTGACGAATTTCGCGCGGACTATATTTATCATGATTGTGCATCAAGGACTTAGTTAGGGGTTTGTGATCAGTATATATCGTGAAAGAATTGCCTTCTAACATATAGCGTACACCACATAAAGACAGAGGGTCCACCAGTGTTCGCACGTCCAAGACGCCTTGATCCCTCTCGTCTGGCTATCGCAAAGAACGAATTCAACAAAATGTTTGAGTTGCGCATCATACGCCCCTCCGATAGTCCGTGGGCATCACCGCTTCATATGGTACCTAAGAAAAACTCTTCCGAAGTTAGACCGTGCGGTGACTATAGAGCTCTCAACAGCCGGACCATACCAGATAGATATCCTCTCCCACATCTGCATGACTTCACTCATAGCCTATCTGAAGTGTCGATCTTTTCAAAAATTGATCTCGTCCGTGCTTACCATCACATTCCAATTCATCCGGACGATGTTCCTAAAACAGCCATTACTACCCCCTTTGGACTATACGAATTCGTCCGCATGCCTTTCGGATTAAGGAATGCTGCACAAAGTTTCCAGCGTTTTATTGACCAAGTGGTACGGGGCTTACCGTTTGTGTATGCTTACATAGATGACCTACTTATATCAATCAAAGATGAAAATGAACATCTAACGCATCTGAAAATGCTTTTTGAGAAGCTAAACGAGTATGGGTTAGCGGTCAATCCTGACAAATGCGAGTTCGGAAAACAATCCCTCACCTTTTTAGGTCACGTACTTGATAAGCAAGGCATTAAACCAGTTCCTGAGGAAACACAAGCTATCAAAAATTATCCTTTGCCTGATTCATTCAAGAAACTACGACGTTTCCTTGGGATGATCAACTTTTACAGACGTTTTATCCCTAAATGTGCAGACTTAGCAAAACCACTAACTGATTTATTAAGGGGACGAGCTAAATCATTAGCAATGACACCGCAAGCAATTCAAGCATTTGATCAGTTGAAAAGCGCTTTAAGCACAGAGGCATTACTCGCACGACGAAAGGTTGATGCACCTTTAGCAATAATGACCGACGCTTCTAACGTAGCAGTAGGTGCTGTACTTCAGCAAAGTGTCAATGAACAATGGCAACCCCTTGCATTTTTCTCAAAAAAGCTAAACGCAACGCAAACAAAATATAGCACATTCGGTAGAGAACTGTTGGCTATCTACTTAGCCATCAAACACTTTCGCTATATGTTAGAAGGCAATTCTTTCACGATATATACTGATCACAAACCCCTAACTAAGTCCTTGATGCACAATCATGATAAATATAGTCCGCGCGAAATTCGTCAACTAGAATTCATTTCACAATTTGCAGCTGATATACGCTATATTAAAGGCAATGCAAATGAGGCAGCAGATGCACTATCGAGATTAAATATCAATACCTTCTCGATCCCTGATATAGACTATCAAGAAATGGCAAAGTATCAAAAGCTCGATACGGAGCTACAAAAGCTTTTGCAGTCTAAGGAAACAAAATTATTATTCCAAAACATCCCCATAAACAACAAGGACACCTTAACTTGTGGTACCTCAACAGGTAAAACTCGCCCTTTTGTACCTTTCGGTATGAGACGAAATATTTTTGAGAAATTACACAATATATCTCATCCAGGTATAAAAGCCACTGTAAAGCTTGTCACAGATAGATTTGTATGGCCAAAAATAAACAAAGACGTACGAAAATGGTCACGGGAATGCATCCAATGCCAAAAGTCAAAAGTACATAGGCACATCATATCTCCTACCGGAATTTTTCCCGCCGCTAGCGCTAGGTTCGACCATATTCATATCGACATTGTTGGACCGTTACCGATTTCTAATGGTTACACGCATATACTAACATGTATAGATAGATTTACGAGATGGCCCATAGCTGTTCCGTTAAAAGACACGTCAGCATCAACAGTGGCGAAGAAGCTGGTGAAACACTGGATTACAAACTTCGGTGTCCCTACAACAATTACGACCGACCGTGGAACGCAATTCGAAAGCAAACTATTTCAGCAACTTACAGATACTTTCGGTATAAAGAGAATTAGAACCACTGCTTATCATCCGTCTGCTAATGGAATGATAGAAAGATTCCATAGATAGTTAAAAGCCTCTTTGACGGCCGCACGAGGAGATTACAAATGGGATATCAAGCTCCCTTTGATACTATTAGGTATTCGCTCAACCATCAAACAAGACCTCGGTTGTTGTGCTGCTGAGTTGGTTTATGGAACAACATTACGTTTGCCTGGTGAATTTTTTGACCGTGCAACAGATATTCCAGCAGATATAACCAACTACGTACAACAATTAAAACGGCAGATGGAATCCATTAGGTCCGTTAAACCACGAACCCAAAAGGTGAAATCATTCGTACCCAACGAACTAGATAAATGCTCACATGTATTCGTCAGAAATGATAGAGTACGACAGCCGTTACAGACTCCTTACGACGGCCCTTTTAAAATCATCCGAAAGGACACTAAAACGGTTACAGTGGAAAGAGCAGGTAAACATGATACAGTTAGCATCGATAGAGTAAAACCAGCATTTTTAGAGAACACTGAAAAACAGACAACTGTAAAACCGTCTAAACCCGCAGCAGAGCAAGCACCATTCAAACTACCTGCAACAAGCAACACTTCAAATCAAAATTCAGCAGCAGCACAAACTACAACAAGATCAGGAAGAAGAGTACATTGGCCAGATAGGTATGTAGCAACCACTATATTTATCTAGACCAAATCCTGAGACTACTCTTATAACACATAAAAATCCTACTTTATTTTGATTACTTTTTTTTTATTGGCCCCACGGATCATCATTATGCTTACATTTTAACTTTATACAATTCATTAATGTTAAATATACACTTGTATATACATGATATGAAACGTTTCAACACACAAGCTGTTATTACAATTTTACGCTTACTCATCATATTGAGTTGTACTTTCATTTTAAAAACAGTTCCGTTCTTTATCTCTTTGTCGAACATAGATGTTAATCCAATTTTTTTTTTGGTACATAAAAACATCAATGTTCTGGATGGGAGCTTATGTGGCAAGCCCATTTGGCTACTGTATCATTTATCTAGTTATTGTAACTCAGACTCAATTCACTATGTTAATTTCGGTGTGTATGATCGAATGTATGTCTGTACATTAACTCTTAAGCTATTTTCTTATTGGTTTCAATATGCAGATAATCGATAATCTATCCACACCCGATTAACTCTCAAATATATATGGATTTTTAACAGACTCACTCACTCTCTCTGTTTCATCGTGTGCTTGCTCACCGTACGCTTGTGGATTATTATTATTCATTAACAATAAACTATCTCTATAACTGGTGTTCGGGCTTTTTAATAATCTCGAGTAAATTCGCAATTCTACTAGGAGATTAAGCCTACCTAAAATACTCAGTTACGGGATATTATTATTTGGAGTCAGATATTGAGGACATTATCCTCAACAAGGTATAGCATTGAGTCCTAGGGCAGAACTAGCTCTCTTAGAATGGATCCCAGTAGACAGTCGTTTGTGCGCTGTCCGACTGAACGGAACAGTAAGAATCCGGAAAGATAGGGACACTCGTCGTTGCCTCTTCGTCGTCTCTGCCTATTCTCCCACTAACTGCAGCTCAGATGATGTAAAATATGAGTTTTACAGAAAGCTTTCGGACCTTCTCCGAAAAGCTAAGCGCTCGGATGTAGTAATAGTGGCCGGTGACTTTAATGCTCAAGTAGGTAAATTAAGCGATAGGGAAAGACACCTAGGTGGATCTTATGGTGTCGTGGCTCAAAGAACAGATAATGGCGACCGTCTGTTGCATCTATGCTCAGATAATCGCCTGTTCCTTGCAAATACTAACTTTAAGCATAAGGAAAAACATCTTTTAACATGGCGACCCACCAATTCGTCCCAACGTTGGACCCAAATAGATCACATCACTATGAGCCACCGATGGAGGGGCTCGATAGAAGACTGTCGCTCATTCTGGAGCACATGCCTAGATTCAGATCATGCTCTAGTGCGAGCGCGTATTCGCTTGCGTCTTACTGGACGTAGGAAAAACACTGCAAGGAAACCTCTTAGGGGCCTACTTAATGATAGTCAAGCTAAGAGTATATTTCAGGAACAACTAGGAAAACAGTTAGGCAGCCATGTATGTGATGCCCACCCCGAGGCAGCATGGAATGATATCCGAAAAGCTGTGGAAACAGCAGTGATATCTGTTAGTAAGGTAAACCAGAAGGTTAGGGAGCAACACTGGATCTCAGCAGCATCTATCGCACTGATAGATGCTCGGAAACTCATTCCACCTGGCTCTGAACATAGTGAAGAGCGGAGTCAGCTTAAGCGCAAACTAACAAGAAGTCTACGCAATGATCGCGAACAGTGGTGGGTAGCGAAAGCAAGAGAGATGGAAAAGGCAACGACAATAGGTGATAGCAGACAATTGTTTAGACTCGTTAAGGAAACCGGAATTAGGAACCCGACTGTTAGCGGAACAATCTCAGAGAAAGATGAACATATTATTCATTCTCAATCCAGGAGATTGGATCGATGGGCAGAACACTTCAGGGATCAGTTCAACTGGCCTTCAGCCACACTTCGGTTTCCCACGATCCCCAGTCAACCTGAATGGCAAGTTAATGTAGGTCCTCCGTCTCTTTATGAAGTTGAAAAAGCCATAGGAAATCTGAAGCGAGGGAGAGAAGCAGGATCTGATAGGTTTACTCCTGAGATTTTTAAGGATGGTGGTCCAGTATTAGCAATAAGATTAACCGAGGTCTTAGGTAGAATTTGGGAACTGGACGTAATCCCATCTGACTGGTCTCAATCACTGATTGTGCCAGTTTATAAGAAAGGACAAAAGTCCTCTTGTGACAATCACAGAGGAATCAGTTTGACTAATATAGTGTCTAAAATATTAGCCTCAATAATACTTCGACGCCTAATCAAAGCTCGTGAAGAGCAAACTAGAGAAAACCAGGCCGGTTTTCGACCTGGACGTGGTTGTATAGATCAGATATTCACACTACGTCAGGTTCTAGAACACAGACACACATTCAGACGCCCCACAATGGTAGTATTTCTCGATCTTAAGGCGGCATTCGACTCTGTTGATCGTGAGGTTCTATGGCAGTGTTTGTCACTGAAAGGAGTACCAAAGAAGTACATTAACCTTATAAAGGCTCTCTACTCGAACACAACTGGCAGAGTGAGAGCTTATGGCGAACTGTCTTCAGAATTGATTATCTCAAGTGGTGTTCGTCAGGGCTGTCCACTCTCCCCATTCTTGTTCAACTTTGTGGTCGACGTACTTTTAGAGATAACACTCCTCTCATCTAAATTTCCGGGGGTTGAACTTCTACCGGAAGGTTCACTTGTTGACTTAGAATATGCAGATGACATCGTTTTATTTGGTGAAGACGCTGACAAAATGCAGAGTCTTCTGACCACTCTAAGCAACAATGCAAGCATGTTCGGGATGCGATTCTTTCCCTCGAAATGCAAAATGTTGCTTCAGGATTGGGTTACATCGACACCCGAACTAGTGATAGGGAGTGAAGTAGTTGAGCGTGTCGACCTCTTCACTTATCTTGGAAGTCTCATCAGCCCTTGTGGTCTGGTGTGTGACGAAATCTCAGCACGGATACAGAAAGCTCGACTAGCTTTTGCCAACTTGCGTCATTTATGGCGTAGGCGAGATATCCGTCTACCAACCAAAGGACGTGTTTACTGCGCAGCAGTTCGTTCCGTCCTACTTTATGGCTGTGAAACATGGCCGATAAGAGTAGAGGATATTCGTAGGTTACTAGTATTTGATCATAGGTGTCTTCGAAGTATTGCTCGTATATCCTGGGACCACCGAGTAAGTAACGCAGCTGTTAGAAAACGGGTACTAGGTAAGGATGGCAAATCAATTGATGAAGTAGTGAAACTTCATCAGTTGAGATGGCTGGGACACGTGTTACGTATGCCCAACCACCGACTACCTCGACGTGCTATATTCAGTGGTATAGGAGTAGGTTGGAAGAAAGCTAGGGGCGGCCAGACCAAAACATGGCACAAACCCATGAAGTCACTGACAAGTGGACTGAGTCATGTTGGTAGGTGCAGACTACCTGGTTGGGGACCGCGAGATGATAGCAACCGATGGTTAGAGACTTTGAATGACATGGCTCAAAATCGTTTGCAATGGCGCAGGTGTATATACTCTTTGTGTTCTCCCAAATTCTAATTATCTGAATTCTTCATGCCCCTTTTTTTCCTCTTTCCAAATTTATTTCACTGGATTATACTCGTTAAATAACATCTCCAAACCCTAATCTTCCCGATTACTGCTTATACTCTTGCTACCTCTACCACTACGGGATTTGAATCGACCACTGCATCTCTGTGCTAATGTGGTGTGGCAACTCGAACTGATGTACGTACGTACTAAGTTCTACGTTGTTACTGACTGACTGACTCTTGTCGAGCGTGGTGTCTTTAATCGTAGAACTTTAAATGACTCTGTATTATGTCATTGTTTTCGGTGACTCTATGTTGTGACTAAAGTCAATGTGCATCGATATGTAGCTAATCATATTGGTAATCACTGTCCATTCATTGCTATTTCTGTTCATTTCATCATTGGTCCTACCATTCTTTTCTCGTTAACTTATTGATATCATTTTCTTTATCCGGGTCAGTTTTCGGTACTTAATTGAGCCAGAATTTATGTGAACTAGACAAAAGATTGATATCGCTTTTAACAATGTTCATAGATACATGGTAAGGTAAAACTTAAGCTTATTCAGCTTAAACAATCAACAACCTGATAGCCTATCCATTATTAGCTGTGCTCAATAAATTAATACATAAACCTATATAAAATTACACTTACAGATGCGACTAAATGAATTAAATAAATGAAAATAACTAATTCACCAGTAAGCAGTAGCGCGATGATCCACTATTCAGTACAAACTACTCGATTAGTAGAACAAAAGGATTGTACTTTTTTGAATATCATTGGCCATCTGTAAAATCAATGGGTTTATGCTCAGAAATTTACAAATTATTTTATTTATAAGTGCACCAACTATCGAATTTTATTCATTTCATATTTCCACCTGACCTAAACTGGGCGAAATTCAGTAGCGTGCTTGTTTTTATCATCAAAACTATAAGTAGGTTTGATACCACACAACTTTTCATTAAGACGCAAGAAGGCATTACTTGTTTTTAAACGGATTTTTAAGTGTTATTGATAAGACATTTGGATCGTGCCAAGTGCGTCTCATCCTATCTAGGGCTCCTCATCTTAATATCCAGACGAAAATGTGGAACCGGTCGCTTTAGGCACCAAGGCGTTATCTATTAAGCTACAAAGTGCAGACAGCTATTGAATTGTTTAGTGGGAATAAAGGTAGTTTTAAAAATTCGTATTTATCCGTTGTCAGTATCATGTATCAGGTGCTCCGATAATGCCTACGATACGTCCGTTAATATTTACGAATAACATAGGATTATGAAAAGGAAACCACATTGTTACTCTCATTTCGATTTTTATTATTACGGTATACATTGTGTTAATACGTGTATATTTGTTTCTTTTCCGCTACTTTCATCAAAATTATAAGCATATTCACTTTGTTGACCGGTTAACTACACCTTCACTCCTTGAACTCGACTAGATTCTTTTTGCTCTACTGGAATATTATCCAATGGAGCAACAATATAACCTTCCCATTTATCAGGTATTTGTTCCATAATATCAGTAGCTAGATTACAATTATATGCAATGTGATTATCACCATCGTCATCATCTAAAAAGCAATTGGAGCCAACATTAATTTCATCACATAAACTAATCATCGGTTCTGTATTATCTAGACTCCAACACTGATTATTAGTTGTTCCATGAAAAGCTTCTTTCGTTAGCAATGAATCAGCATAGCGTATAGCTTCTTCAAGAATTCTCAAATTTTCCTTAATGAACAAAAGAGGAAACAGATTTCATAAAAGAACAAAACTCTTTTTTAATGTTTAAATGGGAACCATATGTCAATTAAAGATGTTAGAAGGGTAAGCAAGCGAAATCTACTTCATTTTTATGTCTCTACATGAAACGAATTATATAAATTAGAGATAATCCCGACATTATAACATGAAAGAAGTCGAGTAAATATGATTCGAGATTTCCAAGCAATAGATTAAATGATGATATGTTGTTTGTCTCAAGACTTGAAGTTCATAGACTTGAGTTTATGTAGGGTTGTGATATGCCCGCCATCCTTGTAAAAAGTTTCAAACAAGTTTGCAACAACTACCCAATATACTGGGATGTATCCCGTCATGTGACTTATTCGCCAATCGGAGTACGACTCATACAATCTTAGTACTGTGCTAAGCCGATGACGTTCGACCGATATAGGCAGTCTAGCAATCTTATTGGTTCTTTGTTCTCATAACATGCCCATTTGAGTCCATAACACCAATAGTAGCTTTCACTATACGAATCATTTGTTTCAAACGTACTTAATTTATATACCAGCCAAATAGACCGCATCACACCAATGAAATAGGAAATAACATTTATACATGATCAAGCCAAAATGTGACCGTAATCAATAAACTGAACACAACTTAAAAACAGTAAGTCGTATAGTAATAGCCAATAGGTTAAAATGAAACCTATAATAAGAGGAATATAGATATACACAATCTAGTTACCGGATAGTTATACTATTATATATACATAATATTAGTCCATTAATAGTTCTCAGAAGTTACCCGAAGTTTAATCTTCACTAGGATAAAACATATCTGGTGGGAAGTAATTCGTGGTTAGTTATTGATTGCAGATAGGCACCCCATAAGTCACATATATAATAAACTTATATTGTAAACGACTCCATTTACCCCCACTCTACATTTGTGTTTATACACGTTATCATTGTTGATTTATGTTCCCCGATCAAACAGTCAGAGTTCACTTGATTTAGTTAACCCAACGTTATGACACACTTCTCCAGTTGAAGTTAGCATGTGACGAAAAGCAATTTAATTTCAAGTAATTAAAGTTGGTATATTAGAAGAATACAGTGCTTCATGAATTGTCCAAAAAACTGATATTTTCAGATGACAGAAACTCAGTTACAGAAAACCATACCAAGAAAACTCACTTCTTTGAAATTTATTAGCGATATCTGTTCAAGTAGTTTAACTACATTCATATCCAATCGGGTTCGTTTTGGAAGAGCACTGTGATCAATATAAAATATATCCTGTTTATCAGGTGATACACAATCCTTTGTTCCAGATATCTAATAGAATAAATTTCAAAAGATATTTGGCTATCCAGTTAACTGATTGCAAATCAACGAATTCTAATTTATTGGTAAAGTATATTTATCATATAACGATGTTTATCTACTTTTCGGAAAGTGAAATGCAACTGAAATCGACATGCGGCATGGCAACTTATATATATATATTTGAAATAATCTCAGCCATTGAAATTCAAATAATTCCAAGGTTTCGTCCATGAAACTTATCTAGACTTCTTCAGGGTGATAATCGAAATTATCAAAGAATGCATAATGTTTATCAATCAAATATATACTTGGTGTTTATCTAATCACATTCAGATGTTGACTTCAGATAACATGTGAAGAGTTCACAATGTGAAAATAAATGAATAAGCGAACATGTGTATGCATACGTAAGTTTATAATATGAATAGTTGATATTCGGTATTAATTTCTTGATTGAAAGTAGAAATAAAAGTGCAAATCGAAAATATTTTTGAAACGTCAATATGTATATAAAATGGTTGGTAGGGAACAGTTGTCTCAAGTTGTTTTATACAGACACTAACTGAATCCCTTATTTGGTTATTATTGCTCTTGTCCCTAGATTGTTGCTCCAAAACGAGCGACCTCGAATGGTTATTGCTACATCGTTTTTTTCTTTGGACTCATTTACCTAGATACCTTAAACCAGTCAAAAGTGATATATTCGACAGTCAAAGGCATCTATTTAAAGTGAATCTTAGCTGGACTAACGGTACATAACTCAACTACAAAATACTTATTGGCTGATGGTTAAGAAATATAAATACCAGGAGACTATAAGCAGATGCATATTTTACGAGTCTGCAAATATGAGAAAACGACCTAAAAGCAATTTGACAGAAACTTTAGTTCAATTGTGGCGTAATATCGCTTCTTCAGAGTAACTTTACATTATATGTACATATCATCTGTTATCCAATAGTATTCTGAAGCATAAATGCATTAGTAAAACAATTACGAGTATTATATTATATAGCAACAACCTGCATCAAGCATTACAACTTACACTATTCACCTCTTCTAATTCATGCTGCACCCCAACATCAAATCGTTTCCAAATAGGTTTAGATGGAACAAAACGATATACAGAACTTTTCTCTGAACATTTTATTTCTTCATCAGTACAATATTTATTTATCACTGTGTCTGACAAGACATTTTTAGATGATTCCGTTGAGAAATATCGTGTCTGGTTTTTGCCAATATACTGTGTGTATTTGTAATAACGACATCGTGATAATGCTTGATTAATGCGAGTATAATGTTTAAAAACCTATAAATAATACAAAAGATATTATATCCACTTTAATTATTATTAGCATCAGTCAAATAATAAAAGAAAACAATTTATGAGAAGAAAAACTAGATCTAAGAACCATAAAATTATGAATAAAAGTGGCGATCTTTAACAGATGTAATGAATCATGTTTCCTTTACTTACTACGAATTGAATAAACATCAAATATTAATGCTTTGCTATACATCTTTTTAAGAATCTTTCAGCATCTCGCATTCGATAATCTCAAGAATTATTGTTCCAATTCGTAGATACATAAAAGCTTTGAAGCTCTCAATATCAGTATAGGGTTGTGGAGATTATTAAGTTTTTGATTGAGATCATGAACCGATTAATGTTGGACCACTGTTGAAAACCTGGAAGCACTGAACGGTCGTTTTGCCCTATTGTGGGGCTCCTCAGCGGTGCTCACCCGTTTGCAGGATTCGAACCCAATGGAGCTGATCCGTATCGAATAGAGACAGGTATCTACCTCAGTACAATGGGAGATGGTCATGCAATTTCACGGATTGGTTGAGGCTAGACATTAACACCATTGGATGCCGGCTCAGTGGTCTAGAGGCTAGGTGTCCACGCGCGAGACTCAAGGCCCTGGATCCGAATCCAGCGAGCGGGATTGTGGATGCGCACTGCTGAGGAGTCCCGCGGTAGGACGAAACCGCCGTCAAGTGCTTCCAGGTTTTCAACGGTGGTCTAACATCAGTCGATTTACGAATTCGAAACTCAATAATTGGAATATATGTAGTATAATTTTATGCCATAATAGGTCTTATTTACGAAATTTTCTCTTGATCCCTATTCCAAACTGAAAAAAATTCACTGAAAATTATGAAGCCAGTCAACTAAACTGTTATAAATTGGATGGGCTGAATCAAGTGAATTTACACAATGGTCTGATTGTTTACTCAGGAAACCAGGTAACAAAAATATGGTTACACTGGCTACAAATACAGACTGAAATAGAATCATTTACAACATAAAATTCAAGAATTATTATAGGATGGTGGTGAAGATTTCATTGAAGTCATAAATGTATTCCATTAGATCCCAACCTAATGTTTTGGAAGTTAAGCGATTATTTAGAGGCTCAGAAGTCCTGATTACGATCTATGATAGATTCATGGGTGTGTAATCCTTCTCTCGCCAACAAGTCACAGTTTTGATTGTTTGATTGCATCACATACAGGAACAGGTGTATCTTGAGAAAAATAGCTACTTATTCCGCTTTATAAGGACTTGAATTAACGTTAGAGTATGTGGTTTCACATAAAAATAATACATTAACAATAATCACTAAGTTAAACAGAATACTTGGTCAAAATATCAACACAAAACTAGATAATTTACTCAATGCTATTCTGATATGAACTTATTCAATGAAGTAGTTAAGGTGAAATAAAGCGCAAAAATCAGATACAATTCCAAATATATCTTCTTTATTTTCTTCATTATTTATAAAACAAAATACATGATCTACTTAGATTGGAATGTAAAAATTATTTGAGAAAATCAATAATGTATCACAAAAGTCATACTAACCATTATACATGATAAGAATGCATTCTTCATATAATTACAAGAATTAATAGCATTAGAGAAAATTTGAAAAGAATATCATAATTTGTGACAAAGTTTTAGAAAGTGATAGAGTTTTTTCTGGTTAGCGAGTTAGTTTTCTACGGGATGGGATCGCTAACCCTATGCCCAACCCTCCTCCTTTATTCGGGCCTATAACCGGCAATAGCCCTAGAGGAGCTCCAGACGGAGTTAAGGAGACAGACAATCGTTTTACTATACTGTCCCACAATATGTTTAATGGAAAATGGTTAGGGTTTCACCATAACGAGAAATAATGAGAATATATTCCAACTATAAATAAAATAGATTCTAATTATGAGTTTATTTTGAGATTAACTGTTGAATGGATGGGAGAAAATATTATAACACTCCCATTGGATTTTTACTATACGATTAGAATTCAGGCAGATAACATATTTTTGAAGAAAAAACTGACTAGCATTTGGAGGTTAGGTTATTCAGAGATTGATACCAAATAAACAAACTTGTCACTCATCGATTAAATTAAAACATTAACGATGAACCATATTGTGGACTATTGTTATTATTACAATTACCAACCTCAAAAATGGCAAAGTAGGGTCAGTATTCCCACAACTGGAGAACATATGGAACTCCAAAGAACTTTCAACCAATATCAAAGTCAGAATCTTCAATACCAACGTCAAGGCAGTTCTACTTTATGGAGAACTACTACAACCATCATCAAAAAGGTGCAAGTATTTATAAATAGTTGTCTACGCAAGATAATCAACATCCATTGACCGTATACCATCAGCAACAACCTAGTATGGGAGAGAACAAACCAGCTGAAGAGGAAATTAGAAAAAGATGTTGGAAGTGGATAGGACATACATTACGGAAATCATTAAATTGCATCATGAGGCAAGCCCTAACCTGGAATTCTGAAGGGAAGCAGAAAAGAGGAAGGCCAAACAACACATTATGTTGGGAGATAGAATCAGATATGGAAAGGATGAATAACAACTGGAAAGGGTTGCCCAAGACAGGGTTGGATGGAGAGTGCTGGTGGGCGGCCTATGTTCTTCCACGAGGAGTAACAGGCGTAAGTACAGTAGAATAGATGTTATAGGTACTAGCAATCACCATGAAGATAAAAGATATTATGTAACGGTAATGAAATTAATTAGATGTCGGGTAATCTTTCAACATGACAAAATATACAATTATATAAACATCAATATGATTATAAGAAAATGAAATAAAAAGTTGGGGACAGTCACAAAAATTAGAATTAATAAAGACTATTGGATGAACCCCTAATCACCATGGCAGAGAAAGGTCAACCACACTTTCTGTATAAATAGATCACATCGTGAACGCCTGATAGTGATTGCCTCTGTTAAACGGAGTAAAACTAATGTTTTTTGTCTGTTAATTATTTTAAATGTTTTACTTACATTTACTTCAAGTCCACTATCCAAAACGTGTCTAGCAATCGCACTTATAGAAACTTTACTCCTATCCAATCGTACATTTCTAGGAATGTGTTCAGAAAACTTTGTGGAGGCCCTTGCTATCTCAGGTATATGTGAATTCATAGATGCAATTAGTTTTAAGTTTTCTATAGCTGATGAGAAACCGTGAAATAGACTGATGAATTGATTTTATTCTCTGGTTTATTACTCTTGCTTCGTTTAAATTTATATTGATTGAAATGAGCTGATTGATGTTAGATCACCAATAAAAACCTGGAAGCACTGGACGGCCGCGGGATTCGGACCCGGAGCCCTCAGTCTCGTGCGCAAACGCTTAACCTACCAGAGCTGGCATCCAGCGATGCTGATGTCTAACTTCAACCAATCCACGAGATTGCGCGACCATGGGCCCTGAATGCGAATCCAGCGGGCGGGGTCGTGGATGGGCACTGCTGAGGAGTCCCATACTAGGACGGAACGGCCGTCCGGTGCTTCCAGGTTTCCAATAGTGGTCTAACATCAATCGGTTCATGATCTCAATCAATAACCTAATAATCTCCACAACCCTATACTGATAAATTTATGTTATCATTCTCATACACACATAAACATACATACAACCATATAAATTAAGATAAAATAATAGAAAAATTAATCAACTTATAATATTTTAATTAATAAGTCTGAAGCAATTTATCTCGCAAATACAATAAAATAAATACACACTATTTGTGCATTGTTTACATAACAGCATAAACATAAAATAACACCGTATAAAAAAATCCCCGAAAAAATGAACTAAATAAACAATGTACGGTTAGATTGTTTTCGTTTTTTGGGGCAAACAAATACTCAACCTAGCCCCCGCCCCCATTTTTTTTCTCATCCCATATACATGATCATTACATTCAGTGTTATAAATCATTGTTTAGTAACACAATCGTATATAATTACAACATAAAAGTAGTAATATTAGTTACTTATAAAAAAAGAAGAGAAAGAGAGAAAAACAAAATAAAACAACTAATAATAAACAAAAATGCATGCACAATTCATTCATGAGAATAAAAAACTGTAATGATGATATAGAGCAGAAAAAACATTGTAGTGGTGATTAGTAGACAATAGACATTATTAACACAGCTGTGTAATTAAGTCTTCCTGTCATGAAGTTTATGTTTCAAATAATAATATTAACCATAAGGCACAAAGAGAATTGTATATTTGTGTTATATTATTTCGGCATAAAAGGTATATATAACAAGCGCTTAGAGATATACATCATATATTAGGACCGCTTAGATATATGCGTATAAAATATGCAAAAATGAAGAGAAAGAGAGAGGAAAAAACAGGAGAAATCATAACTTTTATTTATCATTAAATGAAACAATTATTTCACGTTTGCTGATATCCTCTCTCTCTCTTTCTTATCAATGTTTGATCAATATCCGTTTTCTTCAAAAGTTGGATTTAAAACATTAGTTGTTGGTGATTCGAAAATAGGATTTTCAGCCATTTCCCAACGCATATTTTCACCTTGTTGTTTAAAATTGGCCAATTCACGACGATCATCAATTGTAATGACTAGTTTATAAATCAATAAAAGTATTAATCCACCAAGTACAATGGCTGCAATGACACCGAGAACAATGTAAAGAATATTGATTGTTTTTGTACATTCACTTTTTCGGATAATATTTAAATCAACCTATTTTTAGACAAAAAAATCAAAATGATTTTTTAATATGATATACATTTTACAAGTTATCATGACTTACTTAGATATAGGTGGTTAATGGAGATTTGTTCATTTTGAAGAAGGTTCTCTTATGGTAGACGAAGCCACACACGCATATACTAACTGAAGAACCGTTAAAAAAAACTAGAACAGAACCGGATCAACTTAAGGTATTTCGCTTTTAAGACGATGAATACACAATATGTCTCGTTACAACATAGGCTGATACACGATACCAGTTAAAATATAGTGCATTGAAAAACGTCT